GGAGTGAGGGGGGATGAGGGGAGTGAGGGGAGGGGGAGGAGGGGGAGTGAGTACGGAAATTTTTTTTTACGGAATGTAGAAGTAGAAAGAATCATAATTAAGTAAATATATTAATAAATAATAAATATTTACTCCATACGTTGTGGATCTGGGGAGGAGTGAGTATTTTGTAAAAAAAATTTACAAAATGTAGAAGTGGAGAGAAAATTATAAAATAACTTATTAAAAATGAAAAATATTTGCAAAAGGTAGAAGTAGGGAGAATCGTGACTAAATAATTATATAAATATAATACATAATAAATATTTAACCCACTCGTTGTGGATCTGGGGGAGCAGTGGGGAGTGAGGGGGAGAGGGAGTGAAAAAAAATTACCAAATGTAGAAGTAGAGAGAATCATGACGAAATAATTAAACAAGTATAATAATGAATAGTAAATATTTACGTTTGGCCAACGTCAAACGTTGAGTTTAGGTCTATTAGGTGAACAAAGGAGACGGTACGGCTAACATATTACAATAAAATACAGTAGAAACCAGAAGACATGGAGAGACATTGAGTTTGGACCAGAAGACATGGAGGGACTTGAGTTTGGACCAGAAGACATGGAGGGACATTGAGTTTGGACCAGAAGACATGGAGGGACGTTGAGTTTGGACCAGAAGACATGGATGGACATTGAGTTTGTATGTACCACTCACCGGGATGTGGTGCATGTTGCTGATGCCGGCTGTGGTGAGGGTGATGGTGGACCACTCACCGGGATGTGATGCATGTTGCTGATGCCGGCTGTGGTGAGGGTGACGTTGTGTCGGACGCCCCCCACCTCCCCCGAAGGCTCGATGGTGACGCGCATGTTGGTGATGTCGCGGAGACGCGCGCGGTAACTGTACTCCGTCAGAGCCTGTCGGGGCACTCAGACCTGACTCTCTGACTCACAGCCACCCAGACCTGACTCCCTGCCTCACAGCCACCAAGACCTGACTCACAGCCAATCAGACCTGCCTCACAGCCACCCAGACCTGACTCCCTGACTCACAGCCACCCAGACCTGACTCCCTGCCTCACAGCCACCCAGACCTGACTCCCTGCCTCACAGCCACCCAGACCTGACTCCCTGACTCACAGCCACCCAGACCTGACTCCCTGACTCACAGCCACCCAGACCTGACACCCTGACTCACAGCCACCCAGACCTGACTCCCTGACTCAGACCTAATAAACTAAAGTTTAATAAAAATAATAATAATAATAATGATAATTGCAGATGATTTCTATCGTTCACAACAGTAATCAGTGGAGGTAATCACAGGTAATCAGAGCACAGGGGCGGTAACGGTACAGTAATAATGGTATTCATCAGCAGTATTACATATATATAAATGGTATTTATCAGCAATATTATATATTTTTAAGTGGTATTTATCACTAATATCATACATTTATATATAGTATTTATTAGCAATATTATATATTATAAATGGTATTTAACACCAATATTACATATTAATAAATGGTTTTTAAAACATTTAATTATTATACCATTTAATAATGGTAAATAGCGCTTATCAATGGTATTTATCACAATATTATATATTTATAAAAGGTATTTATACCATTTAATTATTGTGTCATTTAATAATGATAAATACCATTTATATAAGGTATTTATCACTAATATCATAAATTTATAAATGGTAATATAACATTTAATTATTGTACCATTTAATACTGGTTGGCAGTCCAGTTATAAATGGTATTTATCAGCAATATCCCTTATTTATAAATGGTATATACATCATTTCATTCTTGTACCATTTAATAACGGTAAATACCATTAATAAATGGCATTTATCACCAATATTATATATTATAAATGGTATTTATCAGCAATATTACATATTTATAAATGGTATATAAATCATTTCATTCTTGTACAATATAATACTGGTAAATACCATTAATAAATGGTATTTCAACCCTAATGGCGACCATATCAACGCACCTGCATGGCGACTATGGTATCAACAGTGGAGATGAAGCCTCCGTCGTGCATGCGCATGGCATTCAACCATTCAACAATACGCTCCTGGATGATGTTGATACCATCACGGATAAGATAAACCATCAACCCGTAACTGGTTGACTCAACCGCGTGGGCGTCCCACTCCTGCTCAAACTTGGGTTGTAGCAGGTTGCGCTGGTTGTTCTCGTAGACCCTGGTGTTGGTCGAGACCGGGGCCCGGGACCAGTAGACCAGACCGTTCTCCTCGCGCTTGATGGAGTCCAGCGTGTTGAAGGCCAGCTCCTTGTCCACGCTGTGATGGTGGGTGGTGGTGGTGATGGTTAGGTGGTAGGTAATGGTAATGTTAGGTGGTGGTTAGGTGGTGGTGGGTGATGGTTAGGTGGTGGTGTTGAAGGTCTCACAGCCACCCAGACCTGACTCCCTGACTCACAGCCACCCAGACCTGACTCCCTGACTCACAGCCACCCAGACCTGACTCCGCTACTGTAGTTAGGTTGGACTCGCATGTTACCGAGCAGGCCACGCCAGACGCGACTGTACAAATACAATTTCTGTGCATATTAGAACTATAACATGCACACAAATCATTGCCTACTAATAGTAAATGATATCTATCGTCCACAAAGTTATTCCTGCACCAACGTCTTCCACAGTGGGGGGGAAAATTATTTGATGTTACTCCGTTACATCAAATTAATCAATTATGTATTGTTGTATTTAATTATTTGATGTTGTACATTTAGTTGAAGAAGCCTGGTGGTACATAATCTTTATTCTCAGGCACACTTCACAATTTTTGCTGTTTTATTGTTTTCTCCCACGCTTCTGCTTACAGTTCTACAGTACTACATCTTACAGTACTACATCTTGAGCCATCATTAACAAAACTATTGAAAAAGCAGCGGTGTTGACATATTACAGTGGGTCCAAAAAATATCCGACACAATGGAAAAACTTTATGATTTTGAACCGCGAATTTTATAAAAATACAATAATCAAGTCAATATTTGATGATATTGTTGTTTTGGTATGATATTTGTATTTGCCATGTAAATTTACATTAGAATAATGTTTATGTTATTTTGTTGGATAAGCTTTAATTAAATAAAGTTTTTCCTTCGTGTCGGATACTTTTTGCAAACACTGCATGTCTAAAGTACCGAAAGCATATTCCTCTTCACTTGAAAGCATTCCATACGTCTTGTAGCCGAAGCGAGCCATGCTTGTGAATTAAAAACAATTATAGCATGCACTTCTGATAGACACTACGACCAGTGGTTATTGTTTTATGCATCGTAATCAATCTTGGACAAACTGTTTCTATATTGGGCATTTTCAATGACGTCAGCATAAACTTGAGAAGGAACATGAAGAAATGAAATCACTTCATTGCGAGTTGCTAGTGCCGCAAGATTATAGATAAGAGAATTATCGCCTTAAAATGACGAATGAGCAAAGACTTCGCAACAGACGAATTTATTGAAGCAATTCGTATACGAAATGGACACTGCATGAGTTCCGGTCTTTCACAGCTAAGACGCATCATCGTTATGCATCTCTGGAATATTGGATGAACCGTCAATACATTAGAATCCTTTGATGTTTTCTGACGCAACCTACATAATATCAAACGTAAACAAACTCGAAACGAACCGCAGACATCAAACGGTTCATTGAAGGCCGGGTGAGCTTTGCTACGACGTTCAAGCCATGTTGCGACATCCATTCATTTACACGTCGTTCGTGCTTTAGAATTTGAAAAGGTTTTTCAAAAATGAAGGCAACGATACTTGAATATCACAAGGTTCACTTAAAAGCTAAAACTCTAATTTTTCATTAAAGAAATCCCCTCGACAACAAACCTTTTTGTCGGAGAGAGGCGACCATATATAGCCCATAATACTGTCCGCGGGTCGGCTAATATGTACAAGGATATCAAAATATGTATGTTTTTTGATAGGTTGGTTACTATAAAGTATAAACACGAAGACAAATACATCATTTTGAAGGAAGCTAGTGAGCTTGTCTCCGTTTAAGATTAGGTTCCATAAAATAGTATCTTACAATGTAATTGGTATTGGGATCGTTCTAAGCTTTTATCTAAATGCGTATATTAGGCGTCGATGAGTTATTGTAAATAACTGTCACTAATTAACCTACCGAAATTTGTAACGCGTGGATGATTAATAGTTGTAATTTTTGATGATTATTTTAATTTAGTTGCAATTCCTAATGATTAATTGTATGTCTTGGATAACTTATGTTAAAGTATAGGATTTGAAGAACAGTCGCGTGGTCAGATGGGATTCAAGATAGGAAGTTTGACTTGTTCAGAGACTTACTCTGATTTAGAGCCGAAGAAATATAATCATTCATCGCTCCAACTGTCTGAGATATCAGTGTCGTTTTATCACTAAATGTCGTTTAATCTTGCCTGTTTTGGTATTAAAATTATTTTTTTTAACAGTCCCTGCTCCTGTACTGAATGAGAACCTTTTAAAAAACGTCATCTTTTAACCTTTTTTCCGTCCATTACAACCTTTTTGACGCATTTTTTCATTTATGGAAAAAAGCGCTATTGTGCTCGCCATGTCCTTCCGTCCGTCCGTCCGTCCGTCTGTCCGTCCGTCCGTGACTTCACGTTTCCGTCGACGAGAAAATGCGTTCTCTGTCACTCACTGCAGTGAGTACTGAGTTATATTTTTTCAAAGTACCTGGACCGCTTGATTAGTTGAATTAATCACGCTACAAGTATTGTCCTATAACTAATCATTTAATCATACTTGAAAGTCAAAAATTAAAAAATAAAGTAACGTTAAATGAGGGTAAAGAGATAGAAAATACAAATAAAGAAAAGAAAATAACAATAGGCATCATGGACGTAACAAGTTTAATTGTATCATTTTATCTGTTATCTTATATTTATTCAAGTTCATTTGTTTGCAGAAACCGTTGTTGGAATTTTGAACTAAGATTGACAATCGTTGAACCTGGGACGCGTAAATTCTACAGTGATGAAATTTTGAGATGAAAAGCGACACATAAATCATTGCTACGGTATATAGAGGTAGTCTCTAGTTAAGTTTTAGCTTGGAAGCTGAAGTATTAAAAAAAGTTTTAAATTTTTTAGCTTGTAAGCGCTGCTAGAGAGCCGCAACAACTGCTGTACTCGTGATAGTAGCAGCAACAGCTGCGTTTCCACTAATTTATCACATCAATTCCAAGTATTCTTGTAAATGTCATGATGGAAATTGAAAATTTGCTTTTTCTCTGTGGAAATATTCTTCATTTTTTTAGATTGTATTAAATAAATGAAGAAGAAATGAAATCTAAAGTTTTTTTAGATTGTGTACGAGCAGTTTTGAATTCCCGTGAAAATGTTAAAAACGAAGTTATATCATTTTTGGGTGTCTCAATGTTTCTCGATTTCGTTTCTTATAGACGTTAGGGAATGTTTTGGATGAAAGTTTCAACAATTTGATCAAATTGAACAAGGAGGTTCAACAAGCTGTTCAAATTCGGGGTTGAAAATTAGGTTGAAATATCAATCAATAATTCGCAACCTAAAAAACGTATTTTAATGCAACAATCCAATTTGTTTCGTCGAAATGCCTTTTGATTGGCTAGCCAACGCAGCATCACCGTATTTGATGCTATGCATCGTATGGATTAGTTAGCATCATCATATTTGATAATAATTATATTTTGTCAGCACAAAACAGCATTTTCAATATCATCTTTTTCGCAGGCAACATCAACATCAACGTTACGCTATCGAAACTTCAGTATTCAACATCATTTTTGCACGTAACATCAACATCAACGTTACCGTACGCTATCGAAACTTCAGTATTCAACATAATTTTTGCAGGTAACATCAACATCAACGTTAACGATATCAACACTTCTGCATATTCAACATCATTATTTACGCAAGCAACATCAACGTTACCGATGTCAAAACATTTGTATTCAACATCATTTTTGCAAGCAACATCAACATTAATGCTATCAAAACTTCTGTATTCAACGTAACCATTTCCCTCACCAGCGCTAAGTTCAGTGAAGGCAGCAACGTAATTCGATATTCCGCTTATTAGCACAAATTATCATAAATGTTTGATAAGAAGCATTTAATGTATCCCACCTCTTATACCCTACCCTCAGCGCCACGAGTCAATGCACGAGTCTCACTGTTACCCTCGTCGCTACCCTCACTGTTACCCTCGTCGAAGATCTTATTAAGTGAAACGAAGCAAGTTTGGGAGGATATGTCCGGCGTCAATCTGGCGTCTCATTATAATCATTATAATTATATTATGTGATCATATGTAATTGGGGCGTAATATTCACTTGACCTGAAAGTGATTGATGGTAAAGTGTTAGAAATGAGTCAGTATCTGGAAGACACGTGATAGATCACGCGATCAAGATCTTAGTTGTGGGCGGAAGCCAGAAGGCTATATAAGGGGTGGCAACCTTAGTATGAGCCCCCCGCAGTAGCTGATATGCGCTCCGCGATGTAACGCGTCGGTCGGTTCTCCGATCTTACGGTCGACGCCGTAGCTTATAACTCTGTATCGTAAATCTTGTATAACCATCCCGTATACAAGATATGTTATCTAGACAACAGTGTCTTACTAACCCTTTACGACCTTATAGTCATATAACCCGATCCTCAGCTAGAGCTTAATAAATTTAATGAGCTCTGACAGATAGTAGAAAGCAAAATTTTTAAACACACCAAAGACACACACCGGTACACGGACACACAGGGTGAAAACCACCCAATTGTACAGACACACGGACACACAAGGGAAAAGATACACAGAAAAGAAGGAAACCCTCGTGAGACAGGACTGGAGGCATACATACCCTAGGGGATACACAGAGACACACAGGATACACATAGACACACAGGATACACATAGACACACAGGATACACATAGACACACAGGACACACAAGGACCACAAAGGGCCCACAGAGATACTTAGGACACACAGGGACCACACAGGGCCCTCAGAGATACTTAGGACACACAGGATCGGCGTACTTAAAGAAATTGCTGAGACAGAAGGAATAATCATGCTTGCCTTAACCGAGTCACACCTAAGAGAAGATATCCAAGATGGAGAAATCGAGATGAAAGGCTTTCAACATTACCGAGCAGATCGAAAAGAAGGGAGGAAAAAAGGAGGCGTTATAGTCTACCTCAGAAATTTCCTCGCGGCAAAAACAGTTCCCCTGCATCTAGGCTCCAATGGATATGTGGAACATGTTATACTATACATTCCCCATCTCCATCTGTGCATAGCTATCGTATACCGACCGCCTGACTGCCCGCCTGAAAAATTCAATGAAACTCTCGATATAATAGAAACA